GGGTCCTGTGCCCAATACAGTAGGAAAAAACTACTTTTATGTGGACTTCTACAGATTGTAAACCTCTGAGTCCCCCACCCCCTACATACTGGGCATAAAGCTTTAAAAATTTCTGGACTCAGGGTTCAGAGGGACAAATTGGTTGAGGAAATGGGTAAACAATGGGGACAGAAGCAGCAGAAGACAGCTGGTGGAGTGAAAGGGAGATCATAAAACATGACCGCCTCAGGCTGACCAGTGGGAAATTAATAAAGGAAACCAAGACTTGTGCCACTTACGGAGGGAGGCCCTGATGACTTTGGCGCTCAGGCCTTTGCAGGGAAAGACTTCATGTCTGCTATTCGGGAGGTCACAAGAGCTTGCCCCACACCTGTGAAAGGGCCTCCATGTGGGGGTGTGGGCAACCAAACAACACCCTTTACCTAACCTTCTGTAGTAATGGGGTGCATTCCCCAGGGATTACTGGCAGGTAGACTTCTTCCAGATTCCTTCCCCCAATGGCAAGGATATAAACACCTTCTGGGTTTTGGTGACACCTTTTCTGGGTGGATAGCAGCATACCCCACCTGAACTAAAAAGGCCCAACAGGTCACTAGAGCTCTATGAAAGGAAACCATCCCTCAGTTTGGATCCCTACATCACTCCAGAGTGATTCTGGGGCCTCAGTCTCCAAAGTGACACATGAGGCCTCATGGGTATTGGGCACCGCTTGTATCTTTACACCTCATGGCTCACTCAATTGTCAGACGAAGTGGAAGGGGACAATCAATGGATTAAAAGCACCTTGGTAAAATTGTGCAAAAAAAATCCCCAAACACTAGTGACAGCCTTGGCCTATAGGCGGGCCTGTGAAGAATCAGAGTCACCCCAAAACTTCAAACTGAGCCACTGTGAAATACTGTAGGGGAGACCATTTGTGATCTCAGAACTTGTCACTGATCCTAAGATACAAGAGGTGATCATATATGTAATCAATTTGGAACAAGTGCAAAAGGCCCTTTGGAATTCGGAAGTCAAGTCCTCCCAGCTCCAGCCCAACTGCTCCACAAATTCACCCAGGTGACCTTGTTCATATATATGGCTCAGGGGATAGAATCCAGGAGCATTTTACTACTGAGCTACAACCTCGGCCCTTTTATTTCTTTACAGTCAGGGTCTCACTAAATAGCTAGCCTGGCCACGACCTTGTGGTCCCCCTGCTTCTGCCCCTGATTGGCTGGGATTATAGGTGTGTGCAACCACGCCTGGCTGACTTCGTTCTTCTAAAAACTTGGAAAGGGAACTCACACACCAACTGTTACTCCCTAGATGGGAGGACTCCTTCTAGGTCCTAAACACCGGGAGGTCAGGGCCAGACATGATGGGCCCACTTTCCAAGTACAAAATCTGTCCCTCCTGAGGTTTACAGGACCGCTTGCCACCAGGCAAAGAGAAAAAGGAGGTGTATTCATGTGAGCCTCTGGGAGATTATGGGTCCTTTTCAGAAGAAGCAGGGTCCTGTGTAAGCTATGTACTACCTACTAGGAATCTTGCTCCTCACTGCTCTAGTGGGACTTGTCCGTTGGCTGTTGGGATTACCCCCTTCCATGAGGAACACATCCCTGGTTGGGGCTTGGTTTTCTCTCGGCATTTCAGTCATCTTATTCCTCCCCTGTGGCTGCCTGCCCCAGCTGCGGTAAAGCAATACATATACCAGAAGGAGCCACCAGATGGCAGCATGTACACATAACTGTGCTTCCCCCCCCCCCCCCCCCCCCCCCCCCCCCGCCCCGCCCCGCACTTTCTCATTCCTGGCAGGGTAACCCTCTTCATGAGAGGACTAGAAACACAGCAAGAGAGAACATCTTTCTTCCTAACATTAGATTTGCCATCATCAGTTCACTCTGTGGGGAGACACCAATCCAATTTTAGAGGGTATTTGTGCAAAGGAGACTAACATGATTCTAAATCTACATTTGGTGGCTAATGCCACCTTTCCAAACCTAAGAATTAAAGCTCATCTTCTCATAGGACACTCCATGGGCTTTTTTAGCCTTTGGCCATGACCTGGTGAACTATTGTAACCAAGTACAATTTCAACAATTTCGGATACCCAGACGTGAACCTTCAAAATCTGCCTTCATTCACATGGTGTTAAATGCCTCTTGTACCTTCTTTCCCTGTGGTAAAGTTGTAGATTCCTCCTGAATCTTGGTCAAACTGCCCCAACACCCCCCTAATTGGCTTTTCTGAGTGTACTTGTTTCCCACTCCCTCAGCTATAAAAGCACAGGGGAGATTTGCCACCATTGCCAAAGAGTACTGAGGTCCTTCTTACAAAGAGGACTTTTTCCTGATCAAGCAAATGCTCTAGTGACACCTCAAAAGCTCCTAAAGATAAAATAGATGTTAGTCTCAGTTTTTTTCTTTACTTTACTTTTCTTCCTTCCTTTCTTTTCTTTTTTTTCCTTACTGGCAGCTTAGCCCAGGGGCACTTTTCCACTGAGCTGCATATACAATTTTTCATTTCCATCCCATGAATCACTAATTGCTGAGCTTAGCCCTAAACTCCTACTCAGCCTCCCAAGTTGCTAGGAGTTAATGGCAGAGTCACCACACTCAGCAGAGATGCTGGTCATGAACCCTGAATTCTGTGCATATTAGGGGAATGCCTTTTTTTTGTGTGTGACACAAAGAGAAAAACATCTAGGGTTCTAAGAAGCAGACTTACAGCACATCATTGGAAAGAGGTGACTCAAACATGGGGAATAGGATATATTGTCACTTCAGCAGAAAAATACAAGCTTTTACTAATGACCTTGGATACACCATCTCTATGTAACCCGGGCATCAGAGAAGAGAGGTCCAGGTCTAACTGTAGCTGGGGGAATCGCCTGAATTGGATCACTTTCTGGATTGGTGAGAGGAGTGACCAGCAATGCAGTGACTGACACATCAGAAACCACGGGAGACACTGCCATCAAAACTGGGCAAGACTTTAAATTGCTACCAAATCCTTGGACCCATTAGCCCAACTGGTGACAGAAAATAGATTAGATGATTTGTTGGCTCAGGAAGGTGGATTGGGTCTCTGGCAGACACCACCAGCTGTTCTGGACACACGGAGACTACAGCTGATAAGATTTTACAAAGTGGTACTTGGCTTACAACTGCTTCCCCAGGCAGTGCTGGGCTCTAGGGGAAACGATGCAGCTTCCTTGCCTAACTTCACCTGCCTCTTATCATGATTAGGACTTTTGGTTGCTGTATTTCTCCTATTATTGGCCCTGATCTTCCTCTTCTCCTGGTAAAATGGGTCTCTTCTGGGGGACAGAGACTCCAGATCAAGATGATACTGGATCAAGGTCATTGGGCTTTCCTACACCAGAGACTCTTGTTTCACTGTGGCTGCTTTTGAGACAGTGAGTTGGGATGTGTAGCTTGCTGGAGTTGTTCTGTAACTTGTGTCTGTGAAGAAAATGTATGAAGAATAGGATTAGAGACAAAATTTAAAGATCTCCTGGAGAAAGGGTTTATGACAGTTTGGTTAGGTCAGAACATGAAAGTGACTCAAGGTGACAGTGTCTATGGTGACTAATAAAATTATTTTGAAGGATGGAGAGTTTCCATACTATAAGGAAGGGACATCTGAGAATGGTGACTTCCAGAGTGAAATCCTTAGCTGTCCTGCCTCAGCACACAGGAGTGTCACACTCTGAAAACTTGGATTCAGCAAGATGTCATTCCAGCCCTCAAGCTTGGGAATATGTTTAATCTTCTGAATCTAAGTTTTTCTTACAGCCTTCTTTGGAGTAGACTGGTTTCTGAGTTCAAATATTTCCATTTTTTTCCTTCTTGATTCCTTTGTAAAACGCTGCTTCCACATAACTCCACTGCTTCCCTGAATTAAATAACTGTACTCCCTTGTAGGTATGTTTTTATTTTCTTAGATGAAAATGGGTAAATAACAAAGGCATAAGAAAACCTTGGCTATGAAGCCAGTTGTCTCATCCAAAATGCCCGACCTCTGACAATATGAGGTATTGCCTCACTCTCCCTTCTCTTTATGTCCTGGCAGTCCAGACTGGGTAGATGTTTTTTTGTTTTTGTTTTTGTTTTTTTTCTCTTCTTTTTTGATACTGGGGATTGAACATAGGGGTTTTCCACCACTGAACCATCTGTCCATCCCCCTTTTTTTTCTATTTTTATTTTAAAATTGCTTATTGCTAAGCTACTGAGACTGGCATTGAACTTGTGATCCTCCTGCCTCCGCCCCCTGAGCTTTGGGGATTAAAACCCTATGCCACTGCACCTGGTGAGGTGTCCTTTTCTGACATGAGGTGTTGTCTCCATGGACATTGCTTCTGGCACTGCCTGAGTACACTTGTTACCTCAATTACAGGGGCAAGAAACAGAAAATGCCCACTGAATATAGTGAGAAGACAACACCAGTTCTGAAAGGCCAGGACTGAATTTTGCTTAACTGATTAAATCCCAAATTTTCAATTCTACACTGAATTGAAAGGAAATTAATAATCTCTTATAACAATTAATATTAACAATATTAATATCATAGTTATATTTAAAAAGGTCTTTTATAAAATTATATTACATATTGTATACTATATTTATCTTTTATAGGTGTTTCCAGACCTGGGAGGGTGGACCTAAATGGATCCATGCAATTATCCCTCCCGTTAGCTCAGATCCAGGCCCTGGGAAGAAGCTCAGGCTGGGAAGGGCTGGAGCTGGAAACCATCTCTTGGGTTCCATTCAGCCAGGAGGGAGGTTTTCTTCTGCTGTCACTCAGGGTTCGGGGGCGGGTCCTGGAACACTAGCCAATCAGAGACGGGAGATGGGGGGGGCACAGGATCTGTCCAATCAGGAGCGCAGCTGGAAGAGGGCGGAAACTTTCCACTTTTGAACAGCTTCCTTCCTGGAGCCACCATAGTAGGTGTGTCACATGTGTTGTGAAGAGAACTTCTAAGTGGCCGAGCCTCCTCGCTGTGACCTCCACCCTCTGCGGGCCGAGGCGACCCCGGGAACCCCAGAAGGAGGGCAATGGTGAGTGTGGAGGGCGCCGATCCCGCAAGGGGAGCGGGTCGCGGTGAAGGGGACGGGTGAGTCTCTTTGGAGGGACCCGGGCCTCCGGCGGCAGCTGCGGCGACTGCGGTCGGAGTCCGGCCAGGCCCCGGGTCCTGCGCGGCGCTTTGCCGGCCGGAGCGGTCTGTGGGCAGCGCGGCCGCCCAGCCCCGCGTCTCCCCCTCTGCGGTGGCGGCGGGAGGGTCGCGGGGAGACTCCCGCCGCGGGCGAGGCGGGGCCTGGGAGGGAGGTGTGCGCGTCCCAGCCCCCCTGCTCCTCGGGGTCCCCTGGTTACTCCGAAGTCTGCAAAACTGGGGAAGCCGGTCCCCAAATCCGCGACTGACCCTCAGCCCCGGGGCTTGTGGGGGCAGGAGGCGGACAGATCTGTAGACCCTTCTGCCAGGGCCCCCTTCTGGAAATCAGCGCCCGCTGGACATTGGTTTAGAAAATGCGGATGGAGGAAGGCACAGCTGCATTTAAGAGAACCGCAAAGCAGGGAAGCCCAGCTGTGAAGTCTGCAGACCCCTCAGTGGTTGGCAGAAAGGACTTTTCTTTCTAGAGGGGAGCAAAGGGGAGTACAAAGAAGGTGGCGGATGAAGGGAGGATGGAGGGTGGCAGCATCGTCTTAGATCTAGGACGTTTCACCCTGACGTGAGCCTTGGGTGGGTTTTGTTTTTGTTTGTTATCCTCCTTGAACCCGGGGTCCTTAACCACTCAGCCATATCCCCAGCCCCGCACCCCACCCCACCCCCGCGCGCTTTTTTTTTTTTTTTTTTTTTTTGCTCCATCCCCGATACTTTACTACTGAGCCACATCCCAGCCCTTTTTATTTTTATTTTGAGACACAATCTCACTAAGTTGCCAAGGCTGGCTTTGAACTTGAGATCCTTCTGCCTCAGCCTCCCGAACCACTAAGAGGTATCTTGTTTTGATTGATTACCTCCGACCTTGAGTGTTTTTCTTAAGTGATCCTTCATTTTCTTTATCAATTTAAAAATTTTAAAAAAATGTGTTCTTATTAGATGATCTTTCATTTTTGTGAAATTGTTCCTCTCTTTTCCATGTTTTTGTTCTGTATCAATAGTGTTGTTTTTATTTGAAATTGATTTTTTTATATTTGATATACAGAGAAATGATGGATTTTTGCATGTTAAGGTCGTGTGTTTTTTACAACCTTGCAAGCCCCTGTATTAATTCCAGGATTTTTGTTGGTTCTTTGGGATTTTGTAGATAGACGATAATGTCACATGTGAAGATTTATTTTTTATTTGTTTCTTCTCAGTCTCAATCCCTGTCGTTATTATTTCTTATGCTTTCTCTGTACCTATTGATTTGATCCTTCTCTTTTGTTGTTTATTTTTATTTTTTTAATTTTTTTTAGTTGTCGGTGAACCTTTATTTATTTATTTATATGTAGTGCTGAGAATCGAACCCAATGCCTCACACACACTAGGCGAGTACTCTACCACTGAGCCATGACTCCAGCCCCTCTTTTGTTGTTTAGCTTGTTGAGGTGGTTAATTACATGAGTTGACTTTTTTTTTTTTAAATCCACATTAACCATTTATTTTATATATTTATATGTGATGCTGATGATCGAACCCAGGGCCTCACACGTTAGGCGAGCTCTTTTATTGCTGAGCCACAACCTTAGCCCCATGAGTTGACTTTTAAATGTGTGGTCATTCTTAAATAGTTATAGTAGGGGCTGGGGTTGTGGCTCAGTGGGAGATGCTTGCCTAGCATGTGTGAGGCACATGGTTTGATTCTTAGCACCATGTTCATATAAATGAAGTAAAGGCTCATTAAGAACTACGTATTTTTTAAAAATACTTATAACAATTCCTACTTGGGTTTTGGATCATTTTGTTTATATTTATATAATAGCAAATATAAATTTGCTATTATTTGTTGAGGATTTTTTCTTTTATCTTTTTTATTTATTTTTGCAGTGCTGGGGATCAAAGCCAGGGCCTTACAAGTGCTAGGCAGGTGCTGTACCACTGAGCTATCCTCAGGCTCTATTGAAGACTTTTTCGTCTTTATTTATAAAAACTGTGTCTTCTCTCTCCCTTCTCATGTGCTTGGACTGAAAACCAGGACATTCTCACTGAGCTACACCACAAATTCTTTCTTTATTTGTTTTTTTTGTTGTTTTTTACAAATATTTTTGTATTTTGGGGGACTAGGGATTGAACTCAGGGGCACTGGACCACTGAGCCACATCTTCAGCCCTATTTTGTATTTTATTTAGAGACAGGGTCTGATTGAGTTGCTCTTTGCCTCACTTTTGCTGAGGCTGGCTTTTAACTTGTGATTCTCCTGCCTCAGCCCCCTAATCCCACTGGGATTATAGAGGGGTGCCACCACCCCCAGTTTAGTTGTTTCTTATAATGATCAATATTAGCAGCACCCAATGTAAACAATATGCATCCTTAAACCAAAAGCTCCTATTAAGACGTTTACAGTTTTGTCAGTTTTGTCGCAGTAAACAGAAATGGTGTATTTGATTATCATCTACAACATAAACAGTAGGTTTGTGAAAGAGTGGACAGTTTCTAATGGTGCACGAACAGAACTGGGAGCGGGTAGGATGAGATGTTAATGAGATAGGAGGTGAGAATATGGAGGGGTTAAATCATAGGAAGTTTGAAAGAGAAATCAAAAGAAGCTGGCTGTTAGGAGAAAAGAGAAAATAAAGGTAAAAATAAAAGTACTTGGTGGGCTGGGGATGTGGCTCAAGCGGTAGCGTTCTCGCCTGGCATGCGCGGGGCACTGGGTTCCATCCTCAGCACCACATAAAAATAAAATAAAGATGTCGTGCCCACCGAAAATAAATATATGAAATCTCTCTCTCTCTCTAAAAAAGTACTTGGTTTTACAAATGTTGGGGATGAGAGGGCAGGAAAAGAAAGAAAAAAATTTTTCAAAGGATAATTGATTGTTTCTGTTGGAGTTCAATATCTTCCCTGCTTCCTTTCTCATCCAATAGGTGGGGTTGTCTGGAGTTTGCTAGTATCTCCACCCTCAGGATATTGAAGGTTACTAGGGAGGAAGGGTTAGTCTTGGAGGTGGAACTCCTGGATGAGGGGTATAGCAATTGTCAGTCTCTGTTGGAAGACTGCACCTCAGGAATCTCCTTTGGGGTCCACCCATGGTATGTGGGAGCCTGGTCTTAGGCCCTTATATTGCTTGTGGACCCTACAATTCTTGGTCTCTAATTTAGTCTCTTAACTGTGTCTCCCTCACTCCCTCCCTTTCTACTTCCCAATCAAGAACTTCTCTCTCTAGAGGTGCTGAGGGCTGAGCACTGGGACCTGTGTGCCTGTCATGGAGAGCAGGCAGATCAGGACCAGGCATTGAGAGAGAAGGGCCCACCACATAGCTGCAAGCACTTGGGGATTGGGATTGGGAGACTATAGGTACCTTGATGTTGGGCTTCCAGGCCCAGATTGGTGTCCCAAGGTGGAAGCTGCCTCAATTAAAGATGGTGGTGGTGATAGCAGAGATAACCCAAGATGATTGAGTTAATTACCAAATACATTGCTTCAAATACATATCTTTTGTGGAATGAGAGCACTTTAAACCTAATTCTCTAATGATTTCTCAGAGTACAATACAATGATCTTACCTCTAGTCATCATAACATATTTCTTAAATTTATTTCTCCTATGTAACTGAAGTTTTGACTCTTGACCTGATTTCTTGATAGTTAAAAACTGGTTTTTTTTTTCCCCTCATAAAGTACACAAGGTTGGGTGTTGTTTTCTGCCAGCCTGTCTGCAGAACATTTACATTTAAAGTGATTATTGATGTAGTTGGATTAAAACATGGCATATTTGTAAGTACTTTCTGTTTGTTTTACTTTATGTGATCACTGTTCCTATAGCTTCTTGCTTTCTCTAGAGGACTTCTTTTCATAAGGCACACCGAGGAGATACACTAGTGAAAAGTCTCTGAATTTTATTTTTTGTTCTTTTCCTCCTCCAGACTGTATAATTTCAATCATCTAACTTCATCTTAGTTGATTCTTTGTTCTCCTTGCTCCAGGATGCTCTGGAACACCTATAGTGATGGTTTCATATATGTTGTTACAATGGGAACCTGCAAATTATTATATGTTGTTTTTTTGTTTGGTTGGTTGCTTTTTTGTTTGGTAGTAGAGAGGATTAAAATTTTATCACATAGCTATATCTCCAGCCCTTTTTTACTTTTTTTTTAGCGTTAGGGTCTTGCTGAGTTGCCTTCTGCCTTAGCCTACTGATTCAGTGGGATTACAGGAGTGTACCACCTTGCCTAGTGAATGTCTTTGTTGACTAAGTTCAAATTCTGAGGTTTCTCAGAAATGGCTTTTCTCTATTTTTTTCCTATTAATAAGCCCTATTTCCCTCTTCTTTATTACTATTATTATACTGGGGACTGAACCCAGGGGCATTTAACTACTGGGCATCATCCCTAGTCTTTTTTTCTTTCTTTCTTTTTCTTTCTTGATACCAGGAATTGAACTCAGGGGCACTCAACCACTGAGCCACATCCCCAGCCCTATTTTGTATTTTATTTAGAGACAGGGTCTCACTGAGTTGCTTCACTGAAGCTGGTTTTGAACTTGCGATTTTCCTGTCTCAGGTTTTCAAGCCACTAGGATTATAGGTGTGTTCTACTGCACCTGGCCTTTTTTTTTTTTTTTTTTAATGTTTTATTTAGAGACAGGAACTTGCTCAGTTGCTTAGAGCCTCCCAAGTTGCTGAGGCTGGCTTTCAACTTGCAATTAAAAAAAATAATAATTTACAAAATGTTATCCTGCCTCAGATTCCCAAGTGCTTATGATTACAAGCATGTTCCCCCTCCCCTGCCTCTTCATTATTCTTAGATTTTTGTTGTTGTTATAGATATATGAACATTTAAAGACTCTAATGGGTATCTATATGAATCACAGTCTCTTCTTTCAGTGTTTGAGCAGAAATATTTGATGGGGTTAAATTTGATTTCAGCTCCTGGTATGAAGTTGATGGTAAAATTGAAACTATAGTGTTAGTGGAGTGCATCATTTTATCCTCTATTCACGTATAAACCTTTGTTGTTTCACTAGGATCTTCAGTAATTATATTTATTTGGCTTTTTCCTCACACATGGACACAGATCTCTTTATGATGTTTTACATTGAGTTAAAATGTTTAGTGTGTCTTTAATCATGTATTCATTAATTTTTGTTCTGCATATTAATCATGTGTGTGTTTGTGGCGGTGGGTAGTGGGGATTGAACCCAAGGCCTTGCACATTGCTAGGCAACTGCTCTAAAACTGGCCTACGTCTCCAGCCCTTTTTCCTTTTTCATCAGGGTCTCCCTAAGTTACCCAGGCTTCCCTGGAACTTGGGATCCTCCCAAGTAGCTGTGATTATAGGTGTATGCCATGATGCCTTAGAGCACACCAGTACTTTTTCATGCCATGAATTGCAAAAATTTTTGAACTTTGTTGTTTGCTTTTTGCTTTCCTCTACTTTCATAGATTTAAATCGCTCCGCTTATTTTTTTAGAAATTATTATTATTTTTTTTAAATTAGGAAACACTATTTTCTATGTTTAAAGGTATTTGTATTTGTTTAACTGTTTTTTTTTTGTGTGTGTGTGTGTGTGTGATGCTAGAAATTTGAACCCAGGGCCTAGTGTATGCGAGGCAAGCACTCTACCAACTGAGCTATATCCTCAGCCCTTAAAAGCTATTTGTATGGGTTGGGGTTGTAGCTTGGTGATAGAGCAGCACTTGCCCGACATGTGTGAGGCACTGGGTTTGATTCTCAGCACCGCATATAAATGAAAAGCAAAATAAAGATCCATTGACAACTAAATAAAGTTTTAAAAAAAAGTATTTGTGGCTTCTCAAATTATTCCAGTATTGTGTTATGGTTTCAATGTGTGGTTTGAATTTCATGCTTGAAATAGAGAGGAATACATGGCATGTCCAGGTAAATAGATACCTTTTGGTCCCTGTCTTGGTTATTAGAAAGATTGGAGTGTCTCCCACTGTTGTTCAATGCTGCTGTGTCATGAATCAGTTTTCTGTTCACATATGGGCACATGAGTGCTCTTTTCTTTTTCATCATTTGTTAATCTTTTTGTTAATAGTGTACTTTTCCAAATAGTGTGACTTCAAAATGTTTTGTGTTTATTAGTCAATTGATCACTTTATTATTCCAATGAGTTTAGATATTAGATATTTATTATGCCTAGAAGATTTATAAACTATTTTTTTCCTTTTATTTCCTCCCTTCATTCATTCCTTTCTTCTTTTTTTTTTTTTGTCCTTTTATTTTGTGGAATGATGACGGAGGCCCTAATGCACTGAGCAATATCACTATCCCTTTTTAAAAATCTATCTATTTTACTTATTTTTTTACAAATTTGAGACAGGGTCTCACTAAGTCCAAGTCGCTGAGATTATAGGCATGTGCCACTACACCTGGCATACATTACTTTGTGTTTTCTTAGGAAAAGGTTTTGTTATTGGTATTTCGCAACTTTATAGGTCCATGTGAGAGGTGACATCTTGATGACACTGAATCTTTCTAAGGACATGTACCTCTTTTAACTTTATTGTATTAGGTTTTGACATTCTACAAGAAAATTGTTAATGATTACCTATTCATGAATTATCCTTCATGAATCTTATTTATTTTTATTCTGGTTGACATACAGGAACTAACATACAGGCTTCCAGTGCTGGTCCCTTAGTGCAATCCCAAAGGATGTACTGAATTCCCTAAATAAGGAGTTGTAAAAAAGGTTTTAGATCTGATCTAACAGACCAGTTTACTAGAGATTCATCACCCAGAGTGTATTTGGGAGGCTGATGAGATAGGCATCCTGTGACGAGCATGTCAGAACATTGTAAACACATAGAGGACCAACAGGACTTTAACAGTCCGCATTTTGTTGGGATAACCTGCTTGAGAATCCCAGTTCCCTCCTTGCAGTTAAGCTACTTAGGTCCATTCCAACAGTAGTTCCCAGATACCAACAAAGTTTTTTCTCAAGCATTTCTAAGAATATGCTGTCTCAGAACAGCTACTATTAAGTACAGTACGTAGTTGGACTTTGTTGTGAGAAGTGCTAGAGACCCACGTACAAAGAGAATTGGAGAGACCCAGCAGCACAGCTAGTGTTCTTGTTCTCCCTTTTTCTCTACCAGTAGATGCGATCCAGCATCAGAATTTCAGTGTGAGAGGATGTGAGCCTTGCTGGAGAGTAAGATGGAGTATTGGGAGGACATACTATCATATGAAATTCTCACAAAGTGAGTGCAGGTCTCCAGTGCTGTGTGTCTCACTTTCCTCCTGGGAATACCTGTGGGATATTTCAGGAGCCAGTGACCTTTGAGGATGTGGCTGTGAACTTCACCCTGGAGGAGTGGGCTCTGCTGGTTCCTTCCCAGAAGAAGCTCTTCAGAGATGTGATGCAGGAAACCTTCTGGAACCTGACCACTATAGGTAAGGGTGACATAGTTTCCTCACTAAGTCAATCAGAGAACAGGTATCACTTGCTTAACAGTTCTGTTCCATGATCTAGAATATGGAAAACCCATATTTTGGTGAATATACTGGCATGGTGACAGTATACATCAGATCAGCAAGACTCTAATAGCTTTTATGCAATGTTGAAATGAGTCATAATGATGTTTCTGGGTCTGCATTTTAGGAAAACAATGGAAAAATCAGGCCATCGATGATCACTACAATTCCAAGGGAAATCTAAGGTAATTGAACTCACTAGAGAAGGCAGTATCCCTCACAAATCTTGGAATAACTTATAAAAAATCATGAAAAGAAGGAAATGATATATGCCAAGGTTCAAGTTGATTTTATCTCTGTTTTCTTAAACAGTACATACAGATTGAGCATCCATAATTAGAAAACTCAAAATCCATTATGTTCCAGAATAGGCACCAACTAGAACACTGACTTGATATCATAAGTGACACTTTCTAATAGTTTATTATGTACAAAGTCTGTTCCATACACAAATTATTAGAAATGTATGAAATTGGCCTCAAATGGGACCTATTTTGAAGATATCTTTCTGTATATTTGCAAATATCACAATATCCAATCTGAATTTTGTTCTATGCATTTCATATAAGTAGTGCTTAATTGTAACTACATTCGATAAACATCTTCAAGGTTAACCAAATACTTGGAAAAGAGGTATTAAGAAAACTGAGCTGGATGGTAGTGCACACCCATAATCCTAGCAACTTGGAAAGATGTGGCAGGAGATCACAAGAGGGAGGCCAGCCTCAACACTTTAGTGAGGCATGAGCAACTTCCTGAGAACTTATCTGAAAAAAAAAAAAAAAATTTTTTTTTTAAAAGAACTGTAACGTAGCTCAGTAATAAAGCTTACACAGAATAAAACCAATTCTTCTGGTAAATCATTAATAAACAAAATCATTCGTATTGTGCTTTTCATTCTTTGCAGAAGTCAAGTGTTAGAGAGACTCTGTGAACAGAAAGAAGATAGTCAATGTGGAAAAATCATCAGCCAGATCATAAATCCTCACATAAACAAGAGAAGTTCTTCTGGAGTAAAACCTAGTGAACACCATGTGTGTGGAGATGTCCTCAATGCTGATCCATCCCTAGCTGTGCCCCTGACAGCTCACACTGGACACAAAGCACAAGAATATCTGGAACATGGAAAGAAGCCATATAAATATAAGGAACATGGGAAAGCCTTACATGATCCCCATCGTTTTCAGAAGCATGAAAGAACTCACACAGGAGAGAAACCCCATGTGTGTAAGCACTGTGGAAAAGCCTTTAGTTCTACCAGCTACATTAAAATCCATGAACGAATTCACAATGGAGAGAAACCTTATATATGTAAACAATGTGGAAAATCCTTTACTTTTATCGGTTCTCTTCGTACGCACAAACAAATTCACAGTGAAAAGAAACCTTATATATGTAAGCAATGTGGAAAAGGCTTTAGAACTTTCTTTTTCTTTAAAATCCATGAACGAATTCACAGTGGAGAGAAACTGTATGTGTGTAAGCAATGTGGAAAAAGCTTTGGTTCCTCTAGTGACATGAAAAGACATGAACAGATTCACAGTGGCAAGAAACCCCATGTGTGTAAGCACTGTGGAAAAGCCTTTAGTTCTTCAAGCTACATTAAAATCCATGAACGAATTCACAGTGGAGAGAAACCTTATAACTGCAAACAATGTGGGAAATCCTTTACTTTTCTCAATTCTCTTCAAATTCACAAACAAATTCACAGTGGAAAGAAATCCTATGTATGTAAGCAATGTGGGAAAGGCTTTAGTACTTCCTTTTTCTTTAAAATCCATGAACGAATTCACAGTGGAGAGAAACCCTATGCATGTAAGCAGTGTGGAAAGGCCTTTATTTCTTCCAGGTACCTCAAAAGACATGAACAAATTCATAGTGCAGTGAAGCCCTATGCATGTAAACAATGTGGGAAAGCTTTCAGTCGTTCTGATTCACTCAGAATACATGAAAAAAAACATACTGGAGAAAAGCTCTATGTATGTAAACAATGTGGAAAAGGCTTTAGTACTTCCAGCCACCTGAAAACACATGAACAAATTCACAATGAAGAGAAACCCTATACATGTAATGAATGTGGGAAAGCGTTCAGTCATTCTTATTTAGTCAAAAGACATGAAATAATGCACACTGGAGAGAAACCCTAGGTGTGTAAGCAATGTGGAAAAGGCTTTAGTTCTTCTAGCCACATGAAAACATGAACGAATTCATAGTGGACAGAAACCTTATAAATGTAAACAGTGTGGGAAATCCTTTCCTTTTCTCAGTTCCCTTCAAATTCATGAGCAAATTCACAGTGGAAAGAAACCCTATATATGTAGGCAATGTGGAACAGGCTTTAATTCTTCCAGCCACATGAAAAAACATGAACGAATTCATAGTGGTGAGAAACCTTATGTGTGTAAGCAGTGTGGAAAAGGCTTTAGTTCTAGTTACATAAAGACCCATGAGCAAATTCACAGTGGAGAGAAACCCTATATATGTAAACAATGTGGGAAATCCTTCACTTTTGTCAGTGCCCTTCGAATGCATGAACAAATGCATAGTGGAAAGAAACCCTACATATGTAAGCAATGTGGAAAAGCCTTTAGTTCTTCCTATTACATTAAAATCCATGAACAAATTCACAGTGGAGAGAAACCATATACATGTAAACAGTGTGGGAAAGTGTTTCATTTCCCCCAAATCCCTTCAAATGCATGAAATAACACACAATGGGGAGAAACCCTATGTATGTAAGCAATGTGGAAAGGGCTTTAGTTCTTCCAGCTCCTGTAGAAAGCATGAACGAATTCACAGTGAAGAGAAACCCTATACATGTAAACAATGTGGGAAAACATTTCATCTCCCCAGATCCCTTCAAATACATGAAATAACACACAATAGAGAGAAACCTTATGTGTGTAAGCAATGTGGAAAAGGCTATAGTTCTTCCCACTCCTTTAGAAAACATGAACGAATTCACAGTGGAGAGAAGCCCCTATACATGTGAACAATGTGGGAAAGCTTTTCTTCATTCCTGTTTACTCAGAATACATAAAATAAGGCACACTGGAGAAAAACCCTATGTATGCAAGCAATGTGGCAAAGCCTATGGGGAGCCCAGTTCCCTCAGCAAACATAAAAGAATTCACAGTGGCATGAAAACATGCTTGTGAGCAGTGTGGGAAAGCCTTCAGAAATTCATGCACCCGCTAAAATACATGAAAGAATGCACACTGGAGAGAAACTGTGTAAAGAAAGTCATGAAGCCTTTACCCCATCCAGTTACCTTCTCAAACATCAAGGGACTCACACTTGAGAGAAACTCCATGAGTGCAAGCAGTATGAGAAAGCTTTTGCTGTTTACAGTTCCCTTTGATAATATGAAAAACTTCACAGTGAGGAGGAACCTTAAGGATGTCAACAATGTGGGAAAGCCTTTATTCTCCGATTCTTTCAAGTACATGAAAGAACACACTGGAAAGTAACCCAGAATACAGAAAAAGTGGGAAGTCTCTTTAAATTTTTTTTTTTTTTTTTTTTAGTTGTAGATAGACCTTTATTTAATTTATTTATATGCAATGCTGAAAATAGAAACCACATGCCAGGCAAGTGCATTACGGCTGAGCCCCAACCCCAGCCCAGGAAGTCTTTATTATCATGTGAACTTGTTAGCAAACACGAGAATGCAGTTGCAATATCTTGTATTATTGCAAAGGATCTGGGGAACTCGTCAAATTGGTTCAGTGTACCTATATAAATGAACACGGTATGCAGTGGAGTCTATAATAGAAGAGATTTGCAATGATCTCCATTTGGTTCACATGTAAGAAATCACAGTAAATCAAAACCCTGTGATTGTGAAAAATTCTTAGAAAGGAGTTGTCAGTTGTAACATAGTTTCAGAGGCCTATGAAAATCCCTCCTGTAGCAGAATCCTAAAATGTATTGAGTATGAAGAGCTTGATGCAAAATAATTTCTTTAGAAGTCTGCAGAAAATGTACTACCTGGAGATTTCCCACAAGTTTTATATTGTGTTCACTAGTAATTTATTCTTCAAGTAGATCTCTGCACTGTGTGTGTGTGTGCGCGCACATGTGTGTGTGTGTGTTTTGGGTGGTGAGGGGTACCACGGATTGAACTCAGGGGCACTTGACCACTGATCCACATTTCCAGCCCTGTTTTGTATTTTATTTAGAGACAGGGTCTTACTGAGTTGCTTTACCACCTCACTGTTGCTGAGCCTGGCTTTGAACTCAGGGTCCTCCTGCCTGAGCTTCCAGAGCCGCTGGGATTACAGGCCTGTGCCACCATGCCTGGCTTCACTGCGTGATTCTAATTTCGATTCTTGTAAACAAAAGATTCAGGTGAAATATTTCTGTGAGTTTTGTTCAGGCTATTCTATCTGAGTTTAATAGGTAGTGTGTTTTTGATCAAATCAGGTAGTGAGCCTTCTAACATATTGACCCGAGCCCCATCAATGTGTATTTCTAAGGTGCAATTAGGCTTCATTTGTATGTAGTTTTTAAATACTTATTGTTAATGGGCCAGGGAAGAATGAGATTTTGTTCATTGTTGTAAATTTCTGACTGGCCTCACATAATGGGTTATGCATACCCTTTTATTTATATATATACTCAGAGATATGCATATGAATACATGTGTATGTTTCTTTTCAGGGGAAAAATGACAATTGTACATGGATTTTATATTTTTCACAGTTGGATGTTATATCTTTCCCATATTACTGGCGCATTATAATTATACATAATGGTGAAATTCACTCACATATTTGTCCATGCCCATGATATAGCAATAAATGTATATTTTCTTCAAACCAGATTTCTGTGCATTACTTTTTTACAGTTTCTTAAATATTTTCTAACAAATTACAGATTAACATTTATTAGCTTTTTCTTTCAAAAATATTTATTGAAAACTTTGTGATAGAGTACTTTGTAATACCGATTTACTACTGAGAAAAATGAAATTCTTCAATGGGAGAGCAATTTTGTTAGACTTCCATATTGAATTAATTACAGCTATCATCTTCACAACATTTTTTTTTTGAGAGAGAGAGTGTGAGAGAGAGAATTTTAATATTTATTTTTTAGTTTTTGGCAGACACAACATCTTTGTATGTGGTGCTGAGGATGGAACCCGGGCCACACCCATGCCAGGCAAGCACGCTACCACTTGAGCCACATCCCCAGCCCCACAACATTTCTTATAGTTCAAGGCCAAGCAGAATCAGATCGCTGTGTCAGCCCTCCAGACTAGTTCATGACTCAGAGACTTTTTCCCTTTTTTTTTTTTTTTTTGCACTCAGGGCCCCACACTTTCTGAGTACTACTCAGCTATATCCTTGATTTTATTTTGATAAAGGGTCTAAGTTGCCCTGCCTAATGTTTTATTTGCCATCCTCCTGCCTTAGCCTCCCAGGAAACTGGGATTTTAGACTTGTGCCACTCAGCCCAGCTTATTAAGAGACATTTTACTAGGGGCAGGGAAGAGTTTGAAAACAAAAGAAAGCAAATACATTTATACTCTACTTTATATCACATCCCAATGTGCCTGATCTTGTTAGGCCAAAGGCAATCTATTTGCTTCAAGATGAATTAGAAATATTTTACAAAAGTCTGGGAGAGAAGGAATCTATGACTTGACTTCCAAAATAAATTTTTAAAAATTTCCCAGTTATGAGATAAGATAGTATTTAAGTCTATCAGATTAAGACCCTAGCTATTTTGGGGGTAGGGGGAGTATTGGGGATTTAACCCAGGAGTGCTTAATCATGTAGCCATATCCCCAGGCCCTCCCCCCTTTTTTTGAGACAGGGTTTCTAAATTACATAAGGCCTCACAAAGTTGTTGAAGTTGACTTTGAACTCAAGATCTTCCTGCCTCAAAATCCTGACCTGCTGGGATTACAGACATGCACCCCAGCATCCAGCTTTGTAAGATCATTTTATTTTATTTTATTTATTTATTTATTTATTTATTTATTTATTTTTAGTTCTCGGCGGACACAACATCTTTGTTGGTATGTGGTGCTGAGGATCGAACCGGGCCGTATGCATGCCAGGTGAGCGCGCTACCGCTTGAGTCACATCTCCAACCCTGTAAGATCATTTTAAAAAGGTCATTTACTTTGAGGCAGTGAGAGCCTCAGGGACATTACACTTGGGGTCAGCTTGACTTTTTTTGATAGAGATATATTTATTATGCTTTGGATTTTTATCAGAAAAATATTTGGCTGGATCAGTCAGTAGTGGGGTGGTTAAGTGAAGAGAGTTTCCCATGAAAGCAGAGGGGAAGGGAAGAATTCACATCTGGTTAGTTGTTCCTTTTATCAGTTTGTTCATATGAAAATAATAGTTTGATGACATCTTTCTACCTTCAGAGGAATAATTGTCAGTTTTTAAAATCCATATAATGTATCTTGGATTTTGTTTTATATTAAAAAATGTACTGTATTCACTATCTGTGTCATTGAACTCATCAGTGTTGGTGTGAAGCAAGTGAGTGACCTGAAGGCTCATTTCAGTGGTCAGCTGGCACTGGAGTTTGGGAATATGTTTGGCCTTCTGAATGGGGGGGTCTTTGTGACCTTGGGTGAGGCTGGGGCCTGTTTGAGCCATGTCAAGTATTTACATTTTTTCCTTTTTATTCTTTACAGAACATTGCTGCCATAAAATTTCAGTTTTTGTTGCTGGTGTGGTACTAGGGATTCAACCCAGTGGCACTCTACCCTGGAACTACATCCCTAACCCTTTTTTGTTTATTTTGAGACAGATGTTTGCAAAGTTGCCTAGGCTGTCCTTGGATTTGCTGTTCTCCAACTTGTTGTCCTCCTGCCTCAGCCTCCCAAATTGCTGGGACTACAGGTGTGTGGCATTGCAGCCAGGTGACTCCAGTTTCTCCATGAATTGAATAATAGTTACATAACAACAAAGGATGGGCAGATATAGATAGATGATTGGGTCAAATAGGGAAGATGAGGCTGGTTTGAAAGGAAAGAAACAAAATGCTACTACCTTCAAGACACTTCCTCTCCCATTTCAACCTGTTGCCAAGTTTACCTGCCTCCAGTGAAATGTTCCTCCCCAAAATTAGTGTTTTTGTTTGTTGGTACAGGGGATTGTCCACCATGCGGCCAGAGCGTTGGTTTCATTAATGAGGTTCTTGGCATAAAAGTTAGCTAGCGAGATCGAAATAAAACACACAGACTCAGTTACCTTTTTCTATGACCAGGTCCGAGACGGCTCCCCTCTCTGGTTCCCACCTCGAACCACCCAGTAGGGCAGCAAGGATTACTCAGGGCTAGCAGGAGAGAGAGAGAGGGAGCACGCCAGGGAGTAGCCTTTTATTGGGGAACAAGAAACTCAGGGGAGAATTCCATCCAATGAAGGTTGAGGGGGGCCGCACTCCAAGGTCAGGGTCAGTGATTGGCCCCCAGGGTCAGTGGTCAGTCACACCCCCACACGGACGGGCTCTCTCATCAGGAGAGGGCCGGGAAAGCTCCAACACAGTTAGCCAGAGCGCCTCAGACCCAAACCGGGAGTTGCCCAGTCACGTGTGAGAATGGCTTCCCACAGGATTGAACTCAGGGGCACTTGACCATTGAGCCACATCTCCAGCCCTATTTTGTACTTTATTTACAGACAGGGTCTCACTGAGTTGCTTAGTGCCTTGCTTTTGCTGAGGCTGGCTTTTCCTGTTTCAGCCTCTGGAGCCCCTGGGATTACAGGCATGGACCACCACCCTGTGCCCCAAAATGAGTTTGTTATTGAAGTACCTCCTAGATGGCTCCTTTCCTGACCCTTTCAGTAGATAGAAAGAGGCACCCCTGGACGATTTCTTTCCCAACTTCGGGCCACATAAACAATACAAGGGAGGTTGGGAAATGAGAAGAAAGGATAAAAGGAGTAGGACACCCTCCTCTCATGGATTCCATCTCTGGATCCTTTTCTCCGCCCCCAGGAGCAGTCTGTCTCTCTATTCCTTTAAATAAAACTTCTTCTGTGCTTTAGTTGGCATTTCTCAGGGGTTCATTCTTCCACACCAGGGGAATTGGGCCCTGATGGTTAGATCTGGACAAATGCAAACTTCACAGATCAGCTCAGTGCTTTATTTAGGAACGAAGTTTCACACAGGAGTAGGGAATGCAGGGATGAAATGACACCTTGGTGGAACTCATTTTCCGGAAAATGAGCCCCTGAACAAAGAAAGGGCCTGGGCTTATATGGATTATCCTGAAAGGTGGTCTTGTAGATGTTTCAGTTTTCTTGGGCACCAAGGAATTTGGGGTTTGTTCTGTCAATCAGTGAAGGGGTCAGTCTGAGCAATTAAGAACTTGAGCTCTTGCGTGAGGGGTCTGTGCTGAGCACCTGGAGAGGATTTACTCTGAGGAAGTCAGTGCCCCTCAGTGGCTATCACTTTAGGTGTAATGAGACACCTCCTTCCTGCCTGCAATTAGCATCAGGAAAACATTTGTCTTGGAGGATGAAAGCTATCAGTGCATGGCTTTTTTTTTTTTCCTCCTTTTTTTCTCAGGCCACATTATTTTGGGGATTTTAAATCTTCCATATCTATTACTGATCGGATTTACAATACCGGCATCATCTCTGGGAGCTCCTCCAGGATGATCAAGGAGGTAAGGTCCTTCACGCCCACTGCACACCTTTCTGAGCTTTCTGTCTCTTTCTGGAGGACAATAATGGGTACTCCTCAGCTAATTAAATGCAGTTCGTGCAAGCCTCCATTCTACAAGACTCAGGTGATAGGATTCAGGGCCTAGGGGGTCCCTAATCACCTTTCCTGTGTGTCAGGCATGTCAGGTTTTGCCAAAGCCATTTCTCACTATCCAGGCTCAGAGGGCTTCTGGCATGAGTACACAGTGTCTCTAATCCCAGTCTGCCTTTGGATGCATGGTGATGGACAAAGGGGAAAAACTGCAATGTTTTGGCTGGGGCCACTCCCTAGTGATAAGGTTCCTTCTCTAGTGCATTAAAATAGGTTGATTTCCATAATCTAGAGTTTATATATTATCACATTAACTAATATTAATTAATATAATTATATTTCTTATACAATCATTCATTATAAAATTATATTTGTACTATAAGTTTTTATAGATATTCCACACCTAGGATGATGGAACAAAATGGATTAAGTGCAGTAATCATGGATGAAGTGCAATAATCCTTTGGGTTAGGTCAGGTCCAGGCCCTGAGAAGAAGCTCAGGCTGGGAAGGGCTGTAGCTGGAAACAATTCACTTGGGTTCCATTCAGCCAGGGAGAGGTTCTATCCTGCTGTCACTCAGGGTTCAGGGGCGGGGCCTGGATCGCTAGCCAATCAGATACACGGGGTAGGACTGCAGGAACTGTCCAATCAGCACCGCAGCTGGAAGAGGGCGGGAACCTTCCACTTTTGTGGAGCTTCCTTCTAGGGTTCGCCATAGAGTGTCCAGCGGGTCCTGTGAAGAGAACTTCTAAGTGACTCAGCCTCGTCGCTGTGACCTCCGCCCTCTGGAGGCTGAGGCGACCCCAGGAACCGCAGAAGGAGGGCAATGGTGAGTGTGGAGGGCGCCCTTCCCGCAAGGGGAGCGGGTCGCGGTGAAGGGGACGGGTGAGTCGCTGTGGAGGGACCCGGGCCTCCGGCGGCAGTTGCGGCGACTGCGGTCGGAGTCCGGCCGGGCCCCGGGTCCTGCGCGGCGCTTTGCCGGCCGGAGCGGTCTGTGGGCAGCGCGGCCGCCCAGCCCCGCGTCTCCCCCTCTGCGGTGGCGGCGGGAGGGTCGCGGGGAGACTCCCGCCGCGGGCGAGGCGGGGACTGGGAGGGAGGTGTGCGCGTCCCAGCCCCCCTGCTCCTCGGGGTCCCCTGGTTACTCCGAAGTCTGCAAAACTGGGGAAGCCTGTTCTCAAGCCCACGCTCTGTCCCCGTCGTGCCAAGTTTCTTGAAGTGATGTCCACACACACAGGTGTTTCCCCGCAGCGCCACGCGGATCGGAGGGGAGATCCACAGGTACGTGTGGAGGAGAAGGGGAAAGGTCTTGTCCTCTCTGAAATTATTGTCGTCCTTGGGCTGTTTGTAGGTATTGTTCTAAAGCCAAATGCTGATTAAGGTGGGACATGACTTGATTTAAAAGGAGTAGAGCAGGAGGAGGAAATCCTCAACTGTAAGGTCTGCACGCATTCAAGAGATAGAAAAGTGGGTTTTCCTTATAGAGAGGAACAAACAGGATTAGAAATGTCAGGGGCAGAGAGATGTGAGCGGTGGGACCATGAGATAAGGGAATCATTTTATAAAATGGGCCCACTGTGCAGACCCCCCACATGCTTTCACTTTTAGAAAGCAATTTACCTGCAGCCAAGTCTGGCTTAAGTTGACAGGATGTGTTACTTTCCTCAAGGAAGTACCTGTTATCTGCAGGGGAAATGCTCATAAGAGGAACACAAGTTACCCTGAAGGGGGTGACTTTTGTGACCCTCACCCTCACATCAATCAGGTCCTGCAACTCTGAGAAAATTCGGATAATTTTCTCTACCCATAAAATCTGTAAGAACCTGTTCCAATTAGAACCAGTCAGCATGGGCCAAAGTGACTTAGAGTTGTCATGGAAGTGGGGACTTGAAAGTCTTATGTCATCCTGCTGTCAGTCAAAACTCAAGAGGTGGGGCTGGAATTGTGGCTCAGTGGCAGAGCACTTGCCTTATTTGTATGAGGCACTGAGTTCAATCCTCAGAACCACATAAAAATAAATAAATAAAGGTATTGTGTCCATCTACAAATTATATGAATATAAGGAGATGGGAAAGCCTTGTATGATCCCCAGTGTTTCCAGAAAAGAACTCACACAGCAGAGAAACCCCATGTGTGTAAGCACTGTGGAAAAGCCTTCAGTTCTTCCAGCTACATTAAAATCTATGAACGAATTCACAATGGAGAGAAACCTTATGAATGCAAACAATGTGGGAAATCCTTTACATTTCTCAGTTCTCTTCATGAACAAATTCACAGTGGAAAGAAACTCTACATATGTAAGCAATGTGGAAAAGGTTTTAGTTCTTTTAGCCACATGAAAACACATGAACAAATTCACAGTGAAGAGAAAAATTATGTATGTAAACAATGTGGGAAAGCTTTTCATTTCTCCAGATCCCTTCAAATACATGAAATAACACAATGGAGAGAAACCCTTTGTATGTAAGCAATGTGGAAAGGGCTTTAGTTCTTCCTATTACATTAAAAAACATGAACGAATTCACAGTGGAGAGAAACCTTATAAATGTAAACAATGTGAGAAAGCCTTTTGTTTTCCCAATTCCCTTCAAATTCATGAACAAATTCACAGTGGACAGAAACCCTATGTGTGTTAGCAATGTGGAAAAGCCTTTAGTTCTTCCAGCTGTATTAGAAAACATGAACGAATTCACAGTGGAGAGAAATCCTGTATATGTAAACAATGTGGTAAAGCCTTTAATTCTTCCTATTACATTAAAATCCACAAACGAATTCACAGTGGAGAGAAACTTTATGAATGCAAACAATGTGGGAAAGCCTTTTGTTTCCCCAATTCCCTTCAAATTCATGAACAGATTCACAGTAGAACCAAACTCTATGCATGTAAGAAATGTGGAAAAGCCTTTAGTTCTTCTAGCCACACCAAAACACATGAACGTATTCACAGTAAAGAGAAACCCCATACATGTAAGCAATCTGGGAAAGCTTTCATTCATTCCTATTTGGTTAGAAAAAATGAAATAATGAACACTGGAGAAAAACCCTGTGTATGAAAGCAATGTGGCAAAGCCTGTGGTGACCCCAATTTTCTCAGACAACAGAAGAATTCACAGTGATATGAAACTTGCGTGTGAGCAGTGTGGGAAGCCTCCAGTGATTCCTTCACCCTTAAAATACCTGAAAGAATTCATAGTGAAGAAAAATCCTGAGTGTGTGTGTGTGTATAAAGAATGCAGCGAACCCTTCACTCCATCCAGTTACCTTCTCAAACATCAAGGAACTCATACTTGAGAGAAACTCCATGAGTGTAAGCCATGTGAGAAAGCCTTTACTACTTACAGTTCCCTTTGATACCATGAAACAATTCACAGTGAGGGGGAACCTTAATTCTCATATTCTTTCAAGTACATGGAAGAGCGCACTGGAGAGTAACCCTGAATACAGAAAATTGGGAATTCTTTATTATCACATGAAGTTGTTCACAAACATGAGAATGCAATAGTAATAACTTATATTATTACAAAGGATGTGGGGACACTTGTCATCTTGGTTCAGTGAACCCATATAAATGAGCACAGTATTCAGTAGAACTTGCAATAGAAGACCTGTGAAATGATCTCCATTTGGTTCACATGTAAGAAATCACAGTGGATCAAGAACTTGTAATGTGAAAACTTCTTATGTCAAATATAACAGTTTCAGAGGCCTATGAAAATTCCTCATGTATGGGCTGGGGATGTGGCTCAAGCCGTAGCACGCTCACCTGGCATGCGTGCGGCCCAGGTTTGATCCTCAGCACCACATACAAAAAAAGATGTTGTGTCCACCGAAAACTAAAAAATAAATATTTTAAAAATTCCCTCCCTCCCTCTCTCTCTCTCTAAAAAAAAGAAAATTCCTCATGTAGCAGAATTTTATTCATGCAATTAATATGAAGAGCTTGGTACAAAATAATTTGATTAGAAGTTTCCAGAAAATGTACTACCTGGAAGAAATGTTCCAAAACTTATATTGTTCACCAGTAATTCGTTCTTAAATTATATCTCTGCACTATGTTTCTAATGTGAATTATTGGAAATAAAGATTGAGGCGAGACAGTTCTGGGAGTTTTCTTTAGGCTGTACTATGAGAGTTTAATAAGTTGTGTGTGTGTGTGTGTATCCTTTATTTTATTTATTTATTTTTATGTGGTGCTGGGGATTGAACTCACTTTCTTGCATGTGCTAGGTGAGCACTTTACTGCTGAGCCACAACCCCAGCTCTAGGTAATATATTTTTAATAAAACCAGGTAGTAAGACTTCTAACATTTTGAAGCATGTTGGATCCAAAGCAAATTGATGTGTATTACAAGGCTGAGCAGACCCTTGCTTTGCATGCCTGATTGCTGTGCGCCTTCTGCACGTGGGAGTAAAATTCTTGCAGAGCTAAATAGATTCCAGGTGTTTATACCTTCTCTTGGGGTTTCCAGAACTTTATCTGATATGCCATTAGCCTTCATTTGTTTGTAGTTTTTAAATAATTGTGGTAAAGGGGCAGTGAAAAATGAGTTTTTATTTGTTGTTGTCAATTTTCTACTGACCTCACATAATGGATTATGCATACATTTTATATATATATATATATATATATATATATACACACACACACACATATATATATATATATATACACATCTGTATATGTATGTATACATGTATTTTTTTAGAGGAAAAATGAGATTTTTACATGGATTTTATATTTGTCACAGTTTGGTTTGTACTTTCCATATTATTGCTGTATCATAATTAATCATAATGGTGAAATTTATTTACATATATATTTGTACATGCCTATGATATAGCAATAGATGTATATTTTCTTTAAACTAGATTTCTGTTCACACTTTTTTAGATTTTCCTAAATGTTTCAAATAAATTACAGATTAACATATATTAGCTTCTTTTAAACTTTTAAATTTGAAACATTGATAATTTTTAATATAGTACATTTTTTTATAATACAGATCTACTCCCAAGAAGAAGTTCTTTTTCACTTGGATACCAGTTGTCTTTAATTATAAATTCAAGTTTGACTTATATATTGAATTAATTACAGCTATCATCTGTAGAACATTTCTTAGAGCTCAAGTCCAGGAAAATCAGATTTCTGTGTCAGCCCTACAGACAAGTTCAGGACTCAATGAGATTTTTTCCCTTTTTTTGCAGTTCCTGTCTTTGAACCCAGAGTCTCACACTTTTTAAGTAATTGCTGTACTACTAAGCTTTATCCCCAGCTCCATTTATTTTATATTGATAAAGGATCTAAATAGCCAAGGCTAATGTCTAATTCACAAACTCCTGCCTCAGCCTCCCAGGAAACTGGGATTTTAGTCTTGTGCTACTCAGCCCAGCTTCTCAAGAGACATTTTACTAGGTCCAGGAAAGAGTTTTAAAATGAAAGAAAACAAAGACCAGCAATAAAGTACCTTTTTTTTTTCTGAAATACATGTATATGCTGCTTTATCTCACATTCCAATTTACCTTATCTCATTAAGCAAAAGGCATCTATTTGCTTGAAGATGAATTAGAACTGTTTTGCAGAAATCAGGGAGAGAAGGAATCAGTGACTATTGACTTTCAAAATAAATGTTTTTAAGTTCTCAGTTATAAGATAGTATTAAAAGTATCAGAATAAGACATTACTTTAAAAAAATTGCTTAGAGCCTTGCTGTGTTGCTGAGGCTGGCTTTGAACTCAAGATCACCCTGCTCCAATCTCCCAAACTGCTGGGATTACAGGTGTGCTCCAGTGTGCACTGTGTAAGACCATTTTAAACAGGGCATTTACTTTGAGAGACCCTCGTATGTTAAATGTGGAGTCACTTTGACTTTTTTTGATACAAATATATTTATTATGCTTTGGATTTTTAATGGAAATTTATTTGGTTGGATCAGTCAGTGGTGGGGTGGTTGAGTCAAGAGAGTTTCACAATGATGAGCAGAATACTTCAAATCCCAGGCAGAGAGCACTGGTGACAACCATCAACTGGGAAGATGAGGAAAGGATGGAAGCAGAGGGAAAAGTATTCATATCTGAATACTTGTTCTTCTTATCAGTTTGTTTCTATGAAAATAATAGTTTAATGACATCCAAATGATGAACAGGATGCCTGGAAAATTAGATATTTGTAGACATTAATCCTTAAAACCCTCAGGAAAACCAAAAAATAACCTATTACTTATTCCAAGGTATCTGAGATTGTACAAAGCCTTAACAAAAGTTCCAATATTTTTATGGAGGAACTCAAGAGAGGCAAAGAGGAAAACACACCACTGTGGATCTTGAATCTACAGAGGGCCACCTACCATTAAAAGATAAATTTAGGGCTGGGGTTGTGACTCAGTTGTGGAGTGTGTGCCTAGTATGTGTGAGGCACTGGGTTCAGTGTTCACCGCATAAAAATAAAGGTTGTGTCCATCTTTAACTAAAAAAATTTTTTAAAAAAATTTAAATTTATCATTGCCAGCCCCATTCGGTGAAAATTACAAAAATTGGCATAAGGCCCTCATCAGTCCTCAGATGATATCCTCCAAATTGCAGCTTCCATGTTTTCTAACAAAGATCAGGAGGAAAAGAAGGAAAGGGAGCCTGATACATGAAAAAGGTTGCGGCACTGGTCATGGCCCTAAGAGCTTCCCAGATAAGAGGGGAGAAGAACAGAATGAATCTTCAGCCACAAAAGGGATTTGTTTCCATTTTTAAAAGAAATGCCCACAGGCCAAATGGCCATCTATAGAGCCCATCCGCAATGTCAAGGCAATCATTGGAGGAATAAATATCTGCATATGTCCTCCAAGGTGTGGGTTCTTGAGGCCGGATTCCTCCACACAGGCCTGATGAGGCTTAGAGTGGATTCTAATGGCTGCCATAACTCATCACCATGCATGAGCCCTGGATATGGTTCTGCATAGAGAGTGAAGAGGTCAGTTTCCTCTTGGATACTGGCACTTTTCTGTACTCACCTATTACCCTAGATCTTTTTCCTCTAATACTATAATGGTGCAAGGGATGTCTGGACAGCCTTTTACCAGAAAATTTATTCTCCCAATAAGTTGAGTGGGATGATATGATGTTTTCTCATGCATTCCTGATAGTCCCTGAGTGCCCTACCCTTTCATTGGCGAGGGATTTATTTTCAAAGCTCCAGGCTTCCATCATGATGAGTTTAGGATCACCGTGTTTACCTGTATCAGAATGCAAAATAAACCCTGAAGTATGGATCACCGAAGGCAAGATTGGATGGGCAAAAAGTGCAGTCCCAGTTAAAATAGTCTTAAAGGATCCCTCTTTCTTCATCAGACACAATACTCCTGCACCCAGAGGCAAGAAGGGCTTATTGGAGATCCTTTAGAACCTCAAAGGGCAGGGACTTCTAGTATCGAGCAATAGCCCATGAACTACACCCATCTTAGGAGTTTAGAAGTCAAACAGGGAATGGTGCCTAGTCTAAGACCTTAGAATGATTAATGAAGCAGTCATTCTCTACCCTGTAGATCCTAACCCATATACTCTGTTATCTGAGATCCCAGCTGCTGCTGCTTGGTTTACTGTATTAGATTTAAAGGATGCCATTTTGTATATACTCCCAGACTCTGAATCACAGTGTTGTTTTGCCTACAAGGAAAAAGACAGTGGATCTCCTTTAGCCTGGACAGTGTTGTCTTGGGGATTTAAAGGTAGTCCTCACTTATTTGGACAAACCCTAGCCAAGAATTGAGAAAAGGTCATCTTGGTGGTTCTCCAATATGTAGATGAAACATCCTGTGTGCCACCACTCAGGAGGAATTTCAAAAGGCCACTACAGAACTCCTAAACTTTGTAGCTGGTAGAGGTTTTAAGGTCTCAAAAAGGAAAGCTCAGTAGTGACAACATCAAGTTCAATACTTAGGATTACAGATGTCTCATTGAATCTTCAACCTAGAAAAGGAGAGGAGAACCCCCATAGGGCCATATTCTCCACCCCCAGACAGGAAGGCAATGTAGAGTCTTCTTAGAAATAACTGGCTTGGGGCTGGGGATGTGGCTCAAGTGGT